CAACCTCATATAACTGCCCCTGGGGCTTTCTAAGACTACAGCTCTTCAGGGGAGCCGAGTTCATCTTCTCCCTTGAAACAGCTGGCGTTCAAACTTCTGACTTTGTGGTTAGCAGCCCCCATGCCTCATCCACTGGAGCACAGGTATTTCTGAGACAGAAGAACTAATCCTGTCCTCAAAACAAGTTAAAAGTTATTCCAGAGCCACACGTAGTTTTACAAATGAAATCACCATTATCTGAATAATGTCCTTCAAAAATTTAGTACTTGAAACTGATAGTTTTATTTTCATTCTCAACTTCACTTCAGAGCCACATGTAAGTACCAAAAGAGCCGCAGGTTGTCAACCCCTGCACTAACTACATCAAGATCCTTAGGCGGAAGAGCAGAACTGGGGAGAGAGTTGCATGGGGAGGACTACCTGAGGGAGCTGTGACCTTCAGGTGAAGGATGTAGTCAGCCACAAAGGGGAAGGAACCAGGTAATCAATATGCTATCAGATGATGATTGTCAGTGGTTCTCAACCTGTGGGTCGTGACCCCTTTGGGGGTTGAATGACCCTTTCATAGGGGTCGCCCAATTAATAACAGTAGCAAAATTACAGCGATGAAGTAGCAACAAAAATAATTTCATGGTTGGGGGGTCACCACAACATGAGGAACTGTATTAAAGGGTTGCGGCATTAGGAAGAGACCCACTGCTTTAACTTATCCAATCTAGGACACTTCTGAAATGGGCCCCTACTAATTGTAATACTAGACGAGAAAGACCAACTTGTACCATTAATCTACCACAAGCCAAATTCAGCCAAAACCAGGGGCAAAGAGAACCTGTGGATGCGGTCTGGAGGTCAGCCTTCAAGGCCACAGAGAGAATGAAAATAGGCTCAAAGTGAATCTGGATCTCAAAAGGATGCCATGCAGTACAAGTAGTTACCATTTATATGAGCAATTAGATTCAAACAATTAGTGGGGGGGAAAATAAGGACCCTGAAAGAAAAAGAAGACAGGTTTCTTGTAACCTGAAGAATCTAGGTCTGTGCGATAATTACATAAATGAAGGTATCATCAGTTTGTACATTCCTGCTGTTAGCGGTGACGCCTGACGCTGAGGGTTTCTTCACACACGTATAGAAACCTTTAAGTAAAGCTTATCTAACATGTTAGGCTTCCTAAAACCAAACAGCCAAAGGGTGATACACGCTGCTGACAGCTTAGGTCAAGCCAGGCAGGGAAGGGTGACAATATTTCTGACATGCTGAACTGGAAATAAAAGGGCTTCACAAAGTTCATGGAAAATGTGTACTACAGAGAAAAAAAACCAACTATGCACGGATTCCAAAAATTTAGCACTGAAATAAACTTGTACTATCATGCTCTAACATGTCTGAGCAACATCTAGCTTGAGGCACTAAGAAAGATAACATCAGTTTGATAAGAGCCCCTAACCAAGTTTATATGATGAAGCTGGGGTAGAAGAATGGTGAAATCCTCACTACTTACTAAAAGTCTATGTGGCAATGCACAAGCGAAACCTGCAGTTTACAAAGGGCCCACATGAAGAGGAAGTCTGCAGCTGCAGACCACCCCCATCCATTTTCAAGGAAACAATCTCCTTCATGATCTAACTGCAGAGGACCAACAATTAGAGCAAAATCAATAGGCAACACCATCGACATCTCATTGGATTCAGCTCACACAATTCTAAAGAATTAAAATGCGAACAATTCTCTGCTTGGGTGCCAAAACTAGTGCACCAAGATCAGCTGCTGACAAGAGCAGAAATGTCAATGGAACATTTAGACGTGTGGGACCAAGATCCTGAAGCATTGCTTTGATGAGTTCTAAGAGGAGATGAAACGTAATTTTGCCAGTTAGATCCTAAGGACAAAGCACAAAGCAATAGCTCCCAAAAGGTGGATGTGGTCCAAACAAAGCAAAAGTGGACCAGTCAAGGCCACAGGTCATGAGTTTTCGGGGAGATTCAAGGCATTTTATGTGTTGACTTTCTAGAGCAGTGGTTCTCAACCTTCCTAATGCATGAACTTTAATAGTTCATGTTGTGATGACCCCCCCAAGCATAAAATTATTTTCGTTGCTACTTCCTGTCATTTTGCTACTGTTAAGAATTGAGCAACCCGTGTGAAAGGGTCGTTCAACTCCCAAAGGGGTCGCGACCCACAGGCTGAGAACTGTTGCACTAGAGGATCGAAGAATGATGACACCTGATTGTTATGAGACTGTTCCGAGAAAGTTAGTCAATAAATGCCCGGGATAGCTCCACCACAGTCCTTCCCCACACACAGACAAGGGCAATTTTGCTCTCATCAGACAGCAGCAACTTTGCAAGAGTTTCAATGGCAAATCATAGGGCATTCACCTTATAGTTCTGATTTGGTTCTTTCTGTTGTCTTTTAATTTTAAAATATATTTAAAGAGCATATATTTTCTTCAGTTGATAGATTAAAAAAAGGACATCATTAACACGATTGAATTACCAAGATCCTCAATTCTTTACCAAAACCTAATCAAACCACCGGCAACTGAGTGGATTGACTTAGAGACCCTATAGAGCAGCGTTCTCAACCTGTGAGTCAAGACCTCTTTGGGGGGGGGTCAATCGCCCCTTTCACAGGAGTTGCTTGATTCCTAACAATAGCAAAATTACAGTAATGAAGTAGCAACAAAAGTAATTTTATGGTTGGGGGGGAAGGTCACCACAACATGAGGAACTGTATTAAAGGGTTGTCTTTTAATTAGGAAGGTTGAGAACCACTGCTATATAGGATTTCCCAGGCTGTAAATCTTCATAGGAGTAGACCACCTCATCTTTCTGTCGAGGAAAGCTGGTGGATTTGAACCTCGTGCCTTGCAGGTTCAAACGTTTACTTGACAGGGTGGACTAAATGGCTATCATTGCTTACAAATGCGTCTTGGCCTTGATGGAGGTTATGTTAAGAAATAAAGCTTATATTTTAAAATTACATTTTCCATGAGCTTTTTGAAGACTCCGTGTGCCCAGGGCCATCGGGTAGAAGTGTTGATGCTGAAAGATGGTAAAAAACCCAAAAAATTGATATAAATTTGTTGGGGCTTAAGAAATTTGACATTAACTAGCAATGTTTAAGTAGGAAATGAAATGAAAGAGTGGAGATTACCTATGAAAAGGTAAATTAGGGGATAAACTCCTAGCGTGAAGTCCCTGGGCCTCCCAAAGAGTCCATGGATAGAACTCTATTTTATTGAAATTTATTTATTTTAAAATCTATTTTAAAACATTATGAGTAGTAGTTAACAAACTTCCCAAATGGTCAAAGGAATTCAGGACTCTGAAAATGTTAGAACCCCTGGTGCAGTGGGATAAGAAGAGGGCATCAAATGAATTCGTAACGAACAGAGGCTGAAAAGTTTGGCTAACTAGTTAACTGAGTTAGGTATTTCTTTACCCATAGTGCTAAGATTTACCAATTCATACTCAACTTTTAAAAGTGCAATAATGAAAACAAATGTAATAGTTTGCTCTTCAGAATCTCTAGTTTCAACCAAAATAATTAGAACCAGAAAATTTAAAGAAGGACTCATTACCTGGGAAATGTAACAAATGCAAAAGCTTTTTTTCAAATTAAAAATAAAACTAAGCCTCTCAATTGTCAATGTAAAAAATGGAATCATTACAATTTATGTATGGAACGTAGTAAGAGTTGTAAGAGACCCAAATAAAACAGTGTATTAATTTAAAAAAACAGGAATCATGCAGAGACACCATCAGTTGTGAATACATGCAGTATAATTTCTGAAGTATTGTCAACATACTAAAAAATTTATGTAATTAAGTATATTTCTCTGCTCACCACTGAGATTAAACAGATGCACTTTTTGTCATGTTTGCTCCAGCTATGTGCAAAAAAAAAGCAGCTATTCATATAAATTCCCCTTTCTCCCTCCTCAGACATCATCACTATAAAGTTAACATTTCTAACTCCATGCATGTTTATAATTTTATGTGGATACACCCATAATGAATTACCTAAGTATCATAATGTATATGTATGTGTGCATACACATGTAAATACATATACATCTTTATATTTATAACTTGTTTTTTAAAGAAGCGGTCTTCTAAGGTTTGAACTTGTAGCTCTAGACCAATTCAATGTAACTGATTCATCTTATAATGCACATGCGTAAGCTTTAGTTTATCTGTTCCCCTGAGAGACCATTAGATTATTTCTACCTTTTCTCTTGACAAGCAGTGTAATAATAATATTAACAGCATTTAACACCTACTGGGCTATTATGTGTCAGGTACTATTCCTACTTTTGTACATTAAAACATTTAACAGCCAATTACTTAAACTGTCTGTGACATTGGTACTGTTATCATGCCTATTTTACAAATGAGGAAAGCGAAGCAGAGAGGTTATTGGCCCAACGTCACATTCAAGGGGGCTTCAAGAAGTTTATAGGAAAATGACGCTAAAAGAGTTTTCCCATTACTTCTTGAAGTTTTAAGTAATGAACATTTTTGTATATATATCTCCTTGATGTTTCTATATAGTAGATACATTGTAAATATAGTTTCTCTGTATAAACATCTTCCAGTTGTTAAGCGCCAACAAGATACTTCTGAGTTAGCAGAATAAAATACAGCCCTGCCCTTTGCCATCCTGGCAACCACTGCTTTGTTTCAGTCCACTATTTTAGCCACTCTGTTAATCCATCGCATTAAGAGTATTCCTCTTTTTCTTCAACTCTACTTCATCAAACATGATGTCCTCCATGGACATGTGCCTCCTGGTAACACGGTTCCAGGAACATGTGATGAAGTCTGCCATTCTCACTTCCACGGAGCATCCTGGCTGTACTACTTCTAAGACAGATGTGTTCATTCCTGACAGTCTACATTGTCCTTAGGTCAAGTTGGTATGGTGTATTCAATATTCTTCACAAACCCTGCAATTCAAAGACATCCATTCTTCATTAATTTTCGTTTTCACACATACAGGAGGTGTTTAAAAATACCCTGACTTGTGTCAGGGGCACCATAGTCCTCAAAGTAACATTTCTGCTTGGTAACACTTTAAAAATCTTTTGCAGGTTTTCCCAATGCAATAAATCATTTGATGGGCTGTTGTTGCTTCTATTGCGCATCAATTGTGAATCCAAATATATATCCTTGAAACCGTCAATCCTTTCTCCACTTATCTTACTGGGAGGCTCAGTTCTGAGGTTTTTGTTTTATGTTGACATGTAGTCCATCTCGAAGGCTGTAGTCTTTGACCCTCACCGGTGAATGCCTCACGTTCTCTTCACTTTCAGCAAAGCTGTTCTATCTGCACACTGCAGGGTGATAAGCCTGCCTCCAGTCCTGATGCTGCGCCCTTTCTTCAGATAGTTTCCCTGTATTATAAGCTCACATACCTTTTTTGATTTGAAACCACACATTATCCCCTTGTTCTGTTTTGGCCCATGTGCAGGTTCTACAATTAAATGTTCTGGAGTCTCCATTCTTCACAATGTTTCAACGGATAGCAATCGCAACACAAGCAAAATATCTTTCTGGTAGTCTCTGCTTTCAGTCAAAATCCACTAACGTATATTAGCAACGATATCCTTTGACGTCTTCTGAACCCAGCTGAAATTGGACATTTTTCTGTGGATATAATGCTGCAACAAACTGAATTATCATCAGAAAATTTTACTCACATGTGATATTAATGATATTGCTTGATAATTTCCACATTCTGTGAGATCACCACTCTTTGGAATGTAAATGAATGCTTCCAGCGTTGCATCCATTTGGTATGTATTAATTCCTGGAGCCCTTTCACCAACGCCTTAAGTGAAGCTTGGACTTCTCCCTTCAATACGATTGGTTCCTGAACGTATGCTACCTCCTGAAATGTTTGAAGTTCCGATTCTTTTTTTTCAGTGACTGTGTATTCCTTCCATCTTTTATGCCTGCCTGTGACCTTCAGTACTGTGCCCACAGTATCCTTCAGTATTTCAACTATAGTCTTGAATTTTCTCTTTGGTTCTTTCTGTCTGAGAATTGCTTTAGCATGCCTTTCCCTTTTGGTTTTCTAGCTCCAGGCCTTTGCACGCTTCTTTATAATACTTGGTCTTCTTGAAACAACTATTGACATTTTCCCCCAGGTTTTTTAACCTTTTCGTTTTCAATAAAAAGGAAGTAGCAGTATCTCATATAGTTGTTGTGGAATAAATGATTCAATGCATGGTGTAATTTAATAAATTCTGCCTCTGAAAACTAGGTGTTGGAATCCTCACCCCCATACCAGTAGCCTGGAGCTTCCTTAATGAGGCCATGCTAGGGTAGTGTGTCTTAAACCTCTCTTGGGGATAAAATGGTTATGCACTGAGCAACAAGCACAGTGAAGTGGAGACATGCCACATGGAAATGGTCAAGGAACTGAGGAATAATAGGATTACAAAAACTTCTGTGAATTACAGAAACTGAGTATGATCCCCCAGCTCCAGTGCCTTCCCCCAGAGCTGGGGACTGGAATATAGACTTCTAATTTCCTAATCTGTGTGAGAGAATAATTTTTAAGATGACCCTCTTGCGGTATTTGTTACAGCAGCATTCCAAAAAGCACAGAAACAAACCGAAACTCACTGCGTCAATGCCGGCTCACAGTAACCCTAAAACAGGGGGGAACTGTCCCTGTGGGTTGCTGAGACTGTAAATCATCAGGGCAGCAGTGATCGTCTTTCTTCCGAGGAATGGTTGGTAGTTTCAAACTGCTGACCTTGCTTTTAGCAGCCCAGTATATAACTCGCTATAGCCGGCACTACTAGGTAATACAGAAACAAGGGTTAAATGCAATGCATGCAAACCCGCTGGTATGCGGTATGCATTCAATGTTACTTGCTAACTTTATTAATTTGCACCCATCATATTATACAATGTTTTGTATTACAGACTAAAATGTGTCCTCAACCCAAATGTGTTATAAATCCTAACACCTGTACTTGTGGATGTAATCCCATTGGGAAAGGGGCTTTTTCTGTTACATTATTACACTGATGAGGTCCTATCATTGTAGCGAGTGTTTTAAAGCAATAGTGTTTAAAAAGTAAAGCAAGCAGATAAGGCAGAGTAGCAAGTCAGGTCACAGAAAGATTGCCAAGGAATTGAGAACAGAAGCAGGGAAGACCTTCCCCTAGAGTTAGCTGCTACGCTCAATTTAGACTAACCTGAGAACACATTTATTAAGCCACTTACTGTATTTATTATGACAGCAATTAAATATCTAAGAAATACTGGGGGGGGGGGAGGGGAGACACAACGAAAGCCCCAGCAAACGCAACGCTGAATCCTATACAAAATCACCTGGGGAACCCTGCATTTCTGCCACACTCCCAGGTGTTGCTCTGCCTTTGAGTAGTACGGACGTGCGCTCGCTCATCTAACCTTCACGATAACCTCCCTGGAGGGTCCCACGAATGTGGGGGGGCCTCAGGTCGGGAGAAGCAAGTTGCCAAAGGCTGGATGAGCAAACGGCGGGGCTGACCTCACGCCGCAGTGCCTGCAGCTCCCGCTGCGGCACCGAGTCCACAGCCGACAGCGCCCGCGTCCCCGGGCAAACTGTCTGGACAGCCTTAAATCACACGTGTTCCCGAATTAGACCCAAACAGACCCGCCCACGGGGAACTTGGGGGAAGCCGGGAGCGGCTGCAGGGCGTGCGGGCGTGCGCGCCGCGCGGACGGCGCGGACCCAGTCCCGGTCCCGGCGGCCGCCGCGGCTCAGTTCCGCCCACGGCTCGCTCAGGACTCGGGGCGCCGTTAGCCTCCATCTCCGAGCGCAAACCGCCGGGTCCTCCCCAAGGTACACGCGCGCCGGGCCGCCCGGAGAGCGGAGCAGCTCCGGGGGCCGGAGGCGCTGGTTGCCCCGGGTGGGCTCCAGGGGCGGGGATGCCGGGCCAGACTCGGGGAGACCGGAAGGGGCCGCAGCTGCGAGCCCCACACGCCCAAAACGCGCGCGCGCTCTGGTCGCCGCACTCACTCACCTCCCCCGTACACGCCGCCGCTCATGGCTGCGACTCCAACGCTAAAGGATGCCTGGCGAAGTGGCGGCGAGGGCTGCGGCTGTGGGTCCCGGGAAGCGCTACCCGCGACCCCCTTAACTTCCAACGCCACCCCCCTCAGGCAACAAAGCGGCGTCCGCACACCACCGAACGTAGCCACACTTGCTGTCGCCTCTTCTCAGCCAATCGCGAGCGAGCCAACCTAGGCCTGGCCAATCAGGATGAGAGTGGACTGCGTCCCCCGCCGCGGCTCCGCTAGTTGAGCCAATCGGGGATGCGGGGGAAGCGACGGAAAGAGGAAGGGAGTTGGGTTGCGGAGCTGGAAGGGGCGGGGCTTACCGGGATAGGCGGGAGAGTGGGCGGAGGGAGCTGAAGGAGGAGGAGAAAGGCCAGCGGGCCCGTCCGGGCGGTTCCAGGGGTGGGGCTCGGGGAGCTGTGAGCCCGCGAGCAGTGGAAAGCCGGCAGCTGGAAATGTGGTTTAGAAATTTAGAAAAGGGGAAAAAAAAAAAAATTAAGTAAAGCTTTTTCCGTGCAGCGATCCCCAGCTTCGGAGTGCGACGAATTCATTTCCTTCCAGAAGAAGTATTGTCCACTAACTCTTTATATTGCAAGAATGAAAATCTTGCGCTTCTTTTTAGGGCACAGGGAATCAATCAGTTTGTCTTGAAAGGGTTTTGCAAGTGTAAGAAATGGTCACTAATCATTCAGAGAATGATGCATTTATAGCACTTTAAATATTCTAAAGCAGCAGCATCGTCCCCCCACCCCACCCCACTTTCTGTGAGACAGATATCAGTCGAATGAAGCCTTGTCCCTGTAATCACCTGACCAGTAGTAAGTAGGTCAGTAGGTGGCTGCCGCCGGTTCTCCCAGGAACACACTTTTCTTAGTCTGGTTACAAACCGCACTCATTGCCCTGTGGTGCTAGGGTGGGTTTCCAGTAACACTGCTACCACAAGGTCAGCAGTTTGAACTACCAGCCACTTCAAGGGAGAAAGATGGGGCCCCTGTAAAGAGGTTTGGAATGTGCACCGGCAATTTTACTGTGGGGTTACTATGATGTTAGTCTCATTAAGATGACTTTGGGGGTGAGTGGGGAGATCCAATCCAAACTGAGGCTTCCAAGGGTAAGTAACACGACTGTGTTTTGGAACTCAAAGGACACCACAAGGAATGTTAAGGGAATGGAAAGCTGAATGAATGGGGGCGG